TCGGAGAAACCCTCCAACTTCATCGGGACCCGAACACATCCGGCGACGTCAGCGGGCCACCTCACCGCTCCTGGCCTGGGCCGACCCTGGCCGCAGGACCAGCGTCTGCGCCTCCCACGGCCGCGCCAGGAAGGCCTGCACACCGATCCTGCGCTGAGGTCGGGCGTGTCCCCCTACAGGCGGATTCCGCACGACAGATTAAACAAATAGCCAAAACATGCCCCACCAATCAAAACACTGACAAAATCGTCCCCTGACTATTTTTTGACTGCTTTGGAAGACTCCTCCTGTAGAGGGACAGGCCCGACTTAATCCTGGGCCCAGGATGGGACTGGCGAGGATCGGTGAGGTCGCCAGCCGGTGTCGTCCCAGGCCCAAACATCCCACGCCGTGTCGTGATCTCAACCTGGCTCCCTAGCTGCAGCGGTCTGGACCCCCGCCCAGGCAAACGGCTCTTCGGCCCGAAATGATCGAAACATCCTCAAAACATCGTCCCCAAACTATTGTTTGATCATTTTTGAATATTCCCCCTGTAGAGGGACACGCCCGCCTTAACAATAGCTGGGTTTCCACGCGGCCGATCGGGACGATCCTGGCACCCCTGGAGTGCTCTCGACGAGGTACAGCTGCCTGGAGGCACCCACCTGCAAGAACCCGCGTCGCGTCGCGAAGACACCAAGTGATCGGGGCCCCCCAGAGGGGCGACGACGGCCAAAACCTTACAACCCCTGGCCTTCAAGAGTGCTGGAACACCCGAAGATCCGAATTCCGGGTGGGGGGGGGTACGGGTTCCATATGTTTTTGTTTCAATGTTCTCCGCCCCCCCACTGGAAATGGAGAGCAAATCGGGGCCTTCGGTTTGGGTTGGGGTGGATTGGTGGGTGGTGAGATACCCACAGACATACCTGGACTGATCCAAGCCTCGACTGAAACTGAGATGCCAAAGCTCTGCTGTTGTATCTGCTGGCCCTCCCTGAAGGCCCAGGACGCCGCGACTTTGCCACGACGCCGAATGGGCCTGGCCTGCTCGTCCGCCAGCATGCCGCTGCCGCGCCCGCGCGCGCGCGGCACTCACTTCAGCTTCTTCTTCGGGCGCAGGTAGTTCGTGTGGCCTGAGGGGCACCGATAAGGGGGCGAATGGCATAGGGGGGGATGCATCGACCTGGACTCGGCGATACATCGCCGATAGATCGGCGATAGGCCCCCGATCGTGAGTCCGCACCTTCCTGGGCAAGTTTGGGCTATCGGGCCCCTATCGGCGATCGATGGGCGATTGGTTGTGCAGGGACCGACCGTCTCGGCATTCCTATAGTCCTACCACGAAATGTTCTTAGAACCAAGCATGTTCTAATTACAAAAATATGGTGCTTAGAACATAGATCCGATAGTTTAAAGCAAAACAGTCTCAGTCAGAAATGTTCTAAGAACATTTCGTGCAGAGCACAAAAGGTTCTTAGAACATTATTTGGTGGGCCTATAGGCGAGCCAGGACGCGTCGCCACTGCTCGGATTGGGGGTCGATGCCTCCCTCCCCCTATGCTTATCCCCCCCTATCGTTGCCCCCGGTGGCCGCACTTCTTCTTGCGGCAGTTCACGGCCCGGGCCGGCAGGCGGGCGTAGCACTTGCGGCAGATCATCCTGGCGTTACGTCGGGCATGTCCCACTACAGGCGGATTCTGGACGAAGGATCAAAACAATTGCCAGAACATGCACCCAAATAGTAAAACAACAACAAAATCGACAAATCGTCCCCAGACCATTTTTTGAACTACTTTTGACTTAACTCCTCCTGTAGAGGGACACGCCCGACTCAATCCTGGCGAGGGCGGGCCCCGCGCGGCTCGTCCGGGCCGCCGCTCGCCTCCTGCGCCTGCCCCTCCCCGCTGCCCCCTCGTGTCTGCACCTCCCCCCTTGGGGCCCAAAACGCTCCAAGAGGGCCCCCAGACGGGCCCCAGATGGGCCCAAGAGGCCCCAAAGATCTTCCCAAGACGGCCCCGAAGGCGCCCCAAAGGGGCCCAAAACGGCCCAAGAGGGCCCCCAGACGGCTCAAGAGCGCAGTCACTCGACAAGCGCGCTCCACCACTCGCAGAGCAGCTCCTCGCAGGTGCAGAAGAGAAAACCACACACACAAACACAAACTTTTGGCGCTCCGCGCGGATTTCTTGGATTCGCGCTGGACCCCCCCTCCCAGGCGCGCGGAGCGCGCCAGGGGCCGCGCCCAGGGCCGGCGCCGGAGGCGCCGCCAGGGGGCCCAGGCGCGGATCCAAGAAATCCGCGCGGAGCGCCAAAAGTTTTTTTTTGTTTTTTTTTTGTGTGTGTGTGTGTGTGTGGTTTTTCGTCTTCGAAAAAGGGGCCAGGTCCGCCGCAGGAGGTTCACGCTCCACTGCATCGAGGAAGACAGATTTTTTTTTTTTTTTTTTCCGCACGTTTTTGCGAGTAGGCACTTTGCGGAAGGTGGAACCTGCTCGGTGACCGACCAGCCATAACTGGGGGAGCTGTGGTCCTTACCCCCCTGGGGGAACCCATCGCGTGGACGATCTCTCGAGGGGGGGTCGAAATCGATGGGTCCCCCAGGGGGGTAAGGACCACAGCTCCCCCGGTTGTGGCTGGCCTGGGTGAATTACCTTGAGACAATTTTTTTGTTTATCGGCGATAGCCCGGGTTGACCAGCGGGGTGGGAGGGGGCCGGCCGATGACCTGACCTGCGCGCTGTGGGCAGCCCTACACATGCCCGCGCCCCCCCCCCACCCAGGACCTGCACAACCGGCAAGGTCAGGTTATCCTGGGGGGTGGGGGAGGGGGCAAGCCCGATGACCCGGGTGATCGCCGGACCCTAAAAAAACAGTCTTCTTGAGACCCAGACGACCTCGCCGCACGGTCCGCCTCCCCAGAGATCCGCTGTCGCGTTTTTTTTTCAATGCGGGGTCCCTGGAGGTCCCGACCCCTTCCCCGGGACCGGTTTTTCATCCTGAGTCGTTTTTTGACGGTCCTGTGGCCCGGCGAGGGCCTCTAGAGGCCGAAGAGGGCGAACAACTGCCGTGCTGTTTTTTTCAATACGTTGGATCTCTGTGGCAACTCGTTGCTCTTCGGGCCTGCTCTTGGGTCGGGCGTGTCCCCCATGCAGGCGGATCCTGGACGGATAATTAATGATATTGTCGGAAACACACCAAAAGTATACAAACATGCTACAATAACACACCCCCAGACTATTCCTAACGATGCTGAATTTTCCTCCTTTAGAGTTAAGTCGAACATGTCCCGCCGAACAGGACACCACAATTATGCGAACCTACTAACCAAAATCACCCATACTATGTTTGACTATTTCTGAAGAGTCCTCCTGTAGAATTAAGTCGGGCATGTCCCCCTACAGGGGCATCCTGAACGAAGAATTCAAAATAGCCGAAACGTGCACCGTCAATATGCAAACATACTCAAACAAAGAAATTAACAAAAAACATTCCCAAGCGATTCTTGATTATTTTAGAATATTCATCCTGTAGAATGAAGTCGGCACCGATAACAAAAAGTGCGCCGAAAACAAAAAGGGGCACCGATAACAAAAAGGGCGCCGAAAACGAAAGGGGCGCCGAAAACAACAGAAGCTCCGAAGACGGACAAGGCGCCGAAAACAAAAAGGGCGTCGAAAAGAAAAGTGCGCCGAAAACAACAAGAGCGCGGAAAACCTAAGGGCCACCGACAACCAAAGGGGTGCCGAAAACCAAAGATGCGCCGAAAACAAAAAAACACACACACAAAAAAACACGCCAAAAGCCGAAAGGCGCCCAAAAGCAAAAGGATTCCGAAGACCACAAAGGCGCTGGAAACCGAAAGGGCGCCGAAAACTAACGGGTGCCGAAAACCAAAAAAGCGCCGGAAGACAAGAGGGTGACGAAAACCAAACGGGGCGCCAGAACCCAAGAGGGCGCCGAAACCCAAACGGTGCGCAGAAAACCAAAAGGGGCGGCGTCGAAAGCCAAAGGAGCGCCGAAAACCACAGGAACGCCGCAAAACCAAAGGAGCGCCGCAAACCAAAGGAGCACCGCCGAAAACCAAAGGAGCGCCAAAGGCTCAAGGGGCGCCGAAAACCAAAGAGGCACCGAAAGTCAAAAAGGCGCCGAAAACCAACGGGACGCCGAAAAACAAAGAAGAAAACAAGCTTCGAAGCCCCCCCTTCAGCCAGGGTCCTCCAGCTGCAAAAGCCAACAGAAGGAGAGGAGGGGAAGATTAGCTTCCGAAGCCCTCCAGCCCCTTTAGAAAGGGGACCCCGGGCTTACCCTGGGCCCCGAGAAGGACGGGGGGGCAGCTTCCGCGAACACCACCCCTTTAGCCAGGGACCCCCCAGCTACAATATCCCAACAACAAGAAGAGGGGGTTAGCTTCAGAGCCCCCCCACCCCCCTTCGATAGGGGAAGCGGGCCCCAAAAATGAGAGGGGTGGCTGCTTCCAAGACCCCATCCTCTTAGCTAGGCTCCCCCCAAGTAACACAAATATCCACAAAAGGGCCCGAGGGGGAGGGTAGCTTCGGAAGCCCCCTCCCTTTTCCAATGCAGGGGGAGGGGGATAGCTTGAAGCTGGGGCCCCCCTTTTTCATGAAAAGTGCCACGAGCGTGCTCTCCCCTCCCTTTACCCAACATTGTCTCCGTCTCTCTCCCGTTTTCTTTCTCTCTCTCTCTCTCTTTTCCTCTCTCTCTCTCTCTCTTCCTCTCTCTCTCTCTCTCAGTTTGCTACTACCCTACTCCCTGTGAACTCGCTCTGCTTTCCACGTTCTACTTGCTCTGCTCGACCCTGCTGTCCCCCCTCTGAGACGTACTCTCTGCTCTTGGCTCTGCCCGGCTCTGCCCTCCCGCGGAAGGAGCTCCATACCTGGCTCTGGGGACCGGGCCGCCCACCGAGAGAGTCGGCCCGGAGCCCTGAACCGGAGTCCGGAAAACTGGGCGCCCATCGAGATCGGCCTGGTTGTGCTGGGCCCTGGAGACATTACCAGCCAGGAACATATCCCTATCCCTATGCTGGGCACCTCCTCATCACGATGCCAATCTTGGGGATGCCCTTATTTTTTGAGGGCGGATCCCCAAGACTGTCATCGCCTTTGGGCGTGTCAATCTTAGGGATAGGGATACGTTCGAGGCTGGTAACACCACGAATCCAGGAAGCTGGCCGCCGAAGTCGGCCTGGTACTTTCGCCAGTTGCTTCGACTTCCGATGGGGCCCCCTATAAGCGCAAACACTGACTGGGGAGAGAAGGAGACGCAGATAAGCAGGATGTGCGTCCAGACGTCCGGTAGAAAGCCGCCGTGAACAGATCCGCCACCGTGCCGCTGGGCACGGAGTGGGCGTGTCCTCAGGTCCTTCCACTACCACTCTGGGCCTCAGTCCTCACTCCTGAGAAATGTTCAAAGGGTTCGGAGCCCCTCGGGCCGAAGCTTCTGGGTCGGCCCCATGACTGTTTCGGACCTATGAGGGCCCGAAGAAGCTACCAAGACGGTCCAAGAGGGCCCCGAGTCGTCGAACGATCGCTCCAAGACGCTCAAGATGGTCCCAAGACGGCCCAAGAGGCCTCCAAGACGCCCAAAGAGGCCTCCAAGAGGCCTCGCAAGAGGGCCCCGAGAGGCCCAAAACATTGATTTTCTGATGGTTTTTGTGGGATGCTGGCGTTCTCGCCTTTTCGGCTTCCCGACGCTCCCAGACGGTCATAGAGGCCCCCAAGACCGCCCCAACATGGCCCAAGAGGCCTACAAGAGGGCCCCCCAAGGGCCCAAGAGGGCCCCAACAGGCGCCCAAAATGGCCCAAGAGGGCCTCAAGACGGCACCGACAGGGGCTAAAAAGAGGGAACACGAAGTGAAAAACCGAGCCGTCCACCCCGACACGCCCCCAGGAGGCCCCAAGAGGCGCCGGAGACCCCAACAGGCCCCCAAGAGGCCCCCAAACCCCGAGAGGCCCCCAGAGGCCCAAAAGAAGCCTCAAGAGGCCCCCAAACGGCCCCCCAGAGGAGTCCAAACTGCAATCAAGAGGCCCCCGAGAAGCCTCCCACTCCGTTCCAACGAACATCACACAAGCTTCATGACCACCACCCAGGTACGGTGGCGGGATGGGCCGAAAGCCATTGAATGCACTAAACACGCATGCCACGTAGCAAGCGCGAAGGAACGCTCAAAGCACAGTATACACTTAAGGCATCAGTTGCAGGGGGCGCGTCTTGTCACAGTTGTACTTGCGCGCCAGCACCGCCAGGGAGGGCTCGATCACGCCGCCTGAGCCCCCACATGGGACGGAGGAGGGAGGGATGAGAAGGACGAGGGAGACTGAAGGGAGAGAGCAGGAAGAAGGAGGGTGGAGGACGAAGGGGGGGAGAACGGTCAAGAGAAAAACGTCTTCGCCTCGAGCAATCCGTCCATAAAGAGGTCACTGGAGGTTCCCGGGTGACATACGACCCCCCTGAATGACAAGGGAATGATCCAACACCTAGATCCACTTAGCCGGCTTAATAAGAAGGTCATGGGACGAAGACGGCGGCAGGAGGTCAGATCACGCCGTCTGGCCACCCTCTACCTTCTCGCCCCTGGAACCTCTAGAACCTCCGACGACCTCCGAAAATCGCGACGCTCACGACGCCTGAGGAGGCTCGAACTGGGGACTCGTCTTTCATCCTGAGTCACTGTTTGACTGCCCAAGGCCTCAACAAGGGACTCGAAATGCCGAAACGAATAAAGCAGCGTCCGTTGTTAATGTGTTGTTCCGCGGCGCTGGCGTCGTCTCCGAAATTGTCCTATAAGCGGACCGTGTGCACGATGCGCACATCACGCGAGCAGGCAGAGATCGAACAGCCTGGGCCGCTCTCAGTTGGTGCCTGGAGGCGATCACTACCTCGTTTCCAGCAGACTTCGAGCGCCTGCGCGAGCTTTGTCAACTCTACATCGTGATAGAACAAGGCCGTGCATGGCCGTGGTACTTGATCCTCGTGGCAGGCCATCCGCTAGGAAAAGCATTCGGCGGCGATCGAGTGATGAGATGAATGTCCATGACGTGTCGCGCGTGGAGCATAGCATGGAAGGATCGGACGTAGGAGATGCCTTCAAGAGGCCCCCCAAGATAGCCTCAAGAGGCAATCATAAGTGGTGTTGTCCTGAGGTTATTGAGCGATTTTGGCGTTCTCGCCATTTCGGCGTGCCGATGCTCCAAGACGGCCCAAGAGGCTCCCAAGACTGCCCCAAAACTGCCAACTCCAAGAGGGCCCCAGGACGGCCTAAGAGCGCCCCAAGACGGCCCAAGAGGCACCCCAGACGGCCCCCCAGTGTGGGAGGCCGCCATCGGGGGGGCAACCGAGCCCCGAGGGAGGCGTGCGCGCAGGTCGAGGCCTTCTCCTGCATAGGGGACAGCACACGGCGAGGAGCTGCCGGACGTGGATTCGCTCTGCGCTGGCATCGGGCCCCCGACTCCTGCAGGAGGAGGAGGAGGAGGCGGAGGAGGAGGAGGAGGAGGCGGAGGAGGAGGAGGCGGAGGAAGCGGAGGAGGAGGCGGAGGAGGCGGAGGAGGCGGAGGAGGAGGCGGAGGAGGAGGCGGAGGAGGCGGAGGAGGCGGAGGAGGAGGCGGAGGAGGAGGCGGAGGAGGCGGAGGAGGAGGAGGAGGAGGCGGAGGAGGCGGAGGAGGAGACGTGGCGGTCAAGCTCAACGCCTCATCAGTGGTACGCAGCTCGGATCTGCAGACTTGCAACCTGGACCAAGCATTTTGAAGTGGCACCTGCTTCACGAAGTGCCTCACACAACTTGTGCTCCAGCGTGTGTGCGAGGCGCACCCAACCTGCCAACACGGACCTGCTTCGAAGACGTGGCACAGAAGGTGGTAGGGTCTCAGGAATCCACCTCGATTGCAAGAGCTGCCGATGAGATGAACGAGTCTCGCAGACTGTCTCTCGGTATCGCAGCTAAGAATGCGGCCACTTGCTCGCCTCACGCCGATGCTCAGATTCATCGTACGGCAACGCTTCAAGCAACGCTTTTTTATCTAGTCGTCGAGGGAGGAAATCGCCCGACGTGCGCGCGCGCTGCCGCCACGAGGCGCGGGGTCAACGCCGACCACTAGCAAGTGAAATTGAGACGCCTCTCCAGAGTCTCACGACGGCAATGACAGGGGTGGGTGCATGGTCTTCATGACATGTTATCAAGGTGTCGACGGTTCACGACGGTATCGCCTCATGCTTCCATGGTTCTTCAACGACGACGGATGGGAGTGGAGTCAGCAAAAGTTCGGCATGGACGATGGGTTACTACACTCCTCGGCCTGAGAGCGGCACGGTGTGATCCTGGTCTCGTATTGCGTCGCCAATGTTTATCGCAACGGCCGAAGATCTGGATCGCCGAACCAACACGACCAGCCGTTCATGGTGTGTGGCCTCTGGTTGTTCGGCAAATTAGAGGCACGTCCGAAGCTCAACGCTCACAGACCATCCGCGAGCCAATCTCTACGGTGGTGGCACACTTGTTGCACAAGCAAGACGGGACTCTTTGACTCCATATGAAGGGACTTCCCGAACGCAGCGGGAAATTCTCGCGTGGCGTTTTGACGGTGAGGCTGTATGTTCGCTGGGCCAAGCTGAAGAGGAGGAGGATGAGGGAGGAGGATAGAAAACGGGGATATGGGAAAGGGAAAGGAGGAGGACGCGCAAGAGGGAGGATGCACAGTGGATAATTAGGTGGAGGTGTCGAGGACCAGGAGGGGAAGGGAAGCACGGGGGAGAGCGTGGTGGCCCCCGTCCACGGGAAAAAAAACGATCCCAACCATTTCGGGGCGATCCCAACCACTTGGGGCGGAGTCCAACCACCGAACAGAAGGAATCCTACACTCACTCTACAAGACGAACATCGGATTACAACCGGATCACAACCTCTGCAGAGCCTCTGCAGCGCCTGACCAGCCCCTCCGAAGCGCTCCACAAGTGCCTTCGAAGCGCTCCACCCGAGTTTCTGGAGAGAGCTTCTGGAGCGCCTCGCAGGAGCTGCGGGAACGCTTCTGAAGCGCTTCTCATGAGCTTCTGGAGAGCTTCTGGAGGGTTCCCGGGGGTTGTCGAACATTTGGATCCCTGGAATCGCCGAGCACCGCCCAAGGACCCGCATGCCCTCCCGAGCTGTTTCGCCGACGGCCCCTGGGGCCCAGCGAGGGCGCCCCCAGAGGCCGAACGTGGGCAAGAACCTCTCGCGGTGTTTCTTGCTTGCCAGGCAACGGGTCTGGGTTCCGCTTGCCCTCCTCCTCCTCCTCCTCCTCCTCCTCCTCCTCCTCCTCCTCCTCCTCCTCTCCTCCCCTCCTCCTCCTCCTCCTCCTCCTCCCTCCTCCTCTCCTCCTCTCCTCCTCCTCCTCCTCCCTCCTCCCTCCTCCTCCTCCTCCTCCTCCTCCTCCTCCTCCTCCTCCTCCCCCTCCCCCTCCTCCTCCCATGCTCCACAGGAGGAAGGGAAAGTGCGCACCACCGCCAGGCCTCGCACCCGGCCCCCGCCAGACTTGGGCGCGCACGGCGTCCGAGCCTGAGGATGGGGGAGCCTGTGCGGGCACCACGACCCGTCGTCCAGCAGTAGGCCTGTGGATGCTCGTTGGTGTGGTGTGCGCTTAACCTCTCCCGAGATCCAACAGCCCGTCCCCCCCCAGACCCTGTCTGCGCGCTGGTTTCTTTAAAAAGGGGATTCGAAACTGATTTCAAGCAACATTGCGCTCACGAGGTCCTCGGCGGCCTTCTTGGCCTATTTGGACTATCCTCCCTGATTCGTCATTTTTTCCTCCTCCTCCTCCTCCTCCTTTGCCTCCTCCTCGTCCTCCTCCTCTTCCTCCTCCTCCTCCTCCTCCTCCTCTTCCTCTCCTCCTCCTCCTCCTCCTCTGCTCTCCTCCCTCTCCTCCTCCTTCCTCCCCTCCCCTCCTCCTCCTCCCTCCTCCTCCTCCTCCTCCTCCTCCTCCTCCTCCTCCTCCTGGTCCTGCTCATCTTATTCCTCCTCTTCCTCCTCCTCCTCCTCCTCCTCCTGCTCGTCCTCCTCTGGTTCCCCAATTTCCTATAATTCCTAGAAAGCGTGGTCGGCTCGGCTAGCCACACCCGCCTAGTCAAAGTATGACCCGCCCCGAAGTCGAGGGCCCGACCCTCACGCTCCGGGACACAGAAAAGGTTTTAGGGGCCAATCCCCCCCCCGAGAGCCCTTCAGTCCTCGGGGGCAGCCGCCCAAGACCCATATTCGGCCCCCGCGGGCCTCGGACCAGGGGCTGGAAGACACGAGAGCGGAAAAGGCAGCCCCAAACAAAACACCATAATGGGGCTCCCGACCAGACAGCAGGCGCTTCAGGGTGCCCCCCCCCCAGACGGACCGATGCCCTGGGCCGAGAGGTCCAGGGGCGACACTGCCTGGCCAGGAGGTGGGTCCGCCGACGGGCATGAACCCCGCACAACTTGCAAAAGACGATCGGCTTGTCCCTCCCATGGGCCCGACCGACCCCCCCCCGCGTCCCACGCCCACCCCAAATCACCCACAACCCATGGGAGGGATGGGCGATCGCCGCGGCCCTGGGCTCGCCGGGCAGGGGTGGCGAACAATCCTCGATCGGGGCCGCGCACCTGCTGCAGCCCCACACCTGCTGCAGCACCAGGACCTCCCCAGACGCCCGAAGGCGTGCCCAGCGGGACCCGAGACCAGGGAAAGCACCTGGGGCGGGCACGGCGGGGGGAGGGCCGACCGATCTGGCCACCCCTTCGCTGCGGCCTTTTTTAGCGCACCGCCACGGTGGCGCGGCACATTCGCCGCGGCGGCGACAGTCGCCGCGCTCACGCGCCTGGCGCGCCCGCCGACGTCCACGAAGTCGGCGTGCAGCTGGGCCCCCAGCTTGGCCCTCTTGCAGGCCTCGTGGTTGCCGATGTGCCAGTGGGCCTTCGTGCCCACGCGCCCTGCAGCGGCCCAGCTGGTGTGGGCTCTCGCCCAACAGAGCTCGAAGCGCCGGCCCATGTCGTGGACCCTGAACCAGATCTCACTCCGGAGCTGCGCGCACTTGCATTCGGGGCTCCCGCGACAGCCTGGCCTCTTCCGAAAATCACCAACCATATTATTGCAGCCCGTGCCCACGCATAGCTCGGCTTAGGCCGCCTCTCGCATCACGCGAGCCAGGGCGTCGAGCTCTGCGAAGCCGATCTCCTGCAAGACTCCTGGGGCCGCGCCCATCAGGCCGCCGACGACGCCGCCGCCCTCCGCGACCGCGATGCACCCAGCCCGCCCTCGTGAGCTCGACGAGCCGCGGGGGGAAGGCCGACCCGTCGACGCAGACCGCGCCCGAGAAACCCTCGTACCGCAGGACGCCCGCTCGAAGACGCAGCTCGCTCTCAGCGGGGGCGAGCGCCGCCTCCAGTCCGAGCGGGGCAAGGCACCTCGCGAAGCCCATGTCCGCGATGTCAGCTGCAGCTCCAGCCCGACGCGCGTCCTCCAGGCCCATGCCCCTCGCCGCCGGCGCCGCGCCGTCGCGGGCGAAAAGCCCGCGGCGGTGCGAGCCCAGGCCCGTGCCGCACCGCTGACAATCGGCCGAGGTGGCGGCTCGCTCCGCGCACAGGTCGGTATGAGAGACCAGCCCGCCGCGCGCCAGTCTCTCGACCAGCGCCACCTGCTCCGCGCCGCCCTGCGCCCTCAGCACCTCTAGCGCCGCCCGCGCAGGGTGCATCGTTGGTGGCCATGCCAGCTGCCAGTGGAAGTGCGCAGGCACAGAGTGAAGAAGGGACCTCTGCACTCCCCGCTCGACCAGCGTTCTGACCATCTGCGGGCTATGGGACTTCGGGTCGATCGATTCACCCCTGTCGGTGACCCGCGCGCCCCACGGCTCCGCGAACCACCCGACGCGGCCCATGCTGAGGCGCACCGCGCCCGCAGGCCCCGTGACCTAGCCCCGGTGGGCTGGCCGCGCCGCCTCGAAGACGTCGCGCATGCTGGTCGCGGGCCTGGCACTGGCGAAAGCCGCCTTGGCCCGCGCCACCCGCGGCAAACAGTTCGCCGCGTAGGCGGGGTCTTCCACCCATGTCCAGGCTGGATGGCGAACTGCAGCGTCCTGCTCCGCTTGCCGCAGCCGCCTGCCACCGCCTTGCCGTTGATGGTCCTTGGCCTGGTCGAGCACCTTGGACGGAACTCCCTCGACTCGGGCGCCGCGGAAGATGGTGGCGAGGCCGCTGCGCCTGAAGACGGCCCCGAGCATGGCCCCCGCTCGCCCATGTAGCGCGACGCCTTCACAGTGAGACACCCCGACCTTCCTCGGCGCACTCCCCACGAAGCTTTGCTGCCGAGCGCGAAGTCGCCCCCCAAGTTCCCATCCTCGCGGCGCAGCCTGAAGTCCCACTCCCCGAGGCGGTGGGCCGTCCATCGGCAGCCTCGACGTCGCTGGACACGATGGCCCCCCTGGTGACCGAGATAATGAAGCCGTCATCCTCCAGCCTCTGGCAGAACCACCTGGTCGTGCCAAAAATGCCGAACTCCACGCCCCCCAGCCGACCGTAGGCAGCCAGGGTGACGTCATCCACGACGAGGCAGGCGCGGATGCGCAGCCACCTCTGCACGAGGAGGTCCATGGCCGAGAGGAGCATGACCTTCAGCAGGGTCGCGGCGAACACGCAGCCACCGAAGATCGAGGCCCCTAGCGAGAGGGCCCCGGCCACCCACATGCCCTGACAGAGCCTGCGCCGTGCGCCATGCGAGCAGAGGATGAGCTCCAGGCGCCGCATGCGGAACCCATGCCTCGGCGCTGCCGCCACCAACCCTGCGCGACGCACTGGATCGCGCGCCTTGGACAGGTCCAGCGTCGACGTCATCGAGCGCTGCCCCATCGCCGCCGCCGTGCCCGCGTCGGAGGCCTGGAGCCAGACTGCGTCCTCGCGCGACTGGCCCTCGCCGCCGAAGAAACTCTCTGGGGCGCTGCCTCTCCCAGCCCTGGGCCTCGCTTCGACGCGTCTTCCCCAGCGGGCGGACCAGGCTGCTGAGAAGCCCGATTGGGCGCCAGTCCCCCTCCGCCTTCGCCAAGAAGAAGATGTAGACCACCATGTCGAGCTGCCCTGGGATCCTGCACGCCGCCTCCAATCACTGCAGCAGCTGCCCCAACGCGACGAGGCCGATGTCGCCCAGGTGGCCGAAGGGCTGTGGCTTGACGCAGCCGACCCCCGCAGCCGTGGAACCCTTGAAGGCAGCGACCGCCTTCCTGATGTCATGGGGCGAGGGGGGCGTCGGGGGGCGCCGCGTCGAGGTCCAACGGCAGCGCCTCGCCGCGGCGCCACGCCCCCTGGCACTCGTCCGTCAGCGCGCCGAGAGTGGCTGCGACACCTGCGGACCCCTTGACCCCGCAGAGGTCGGGCGCCCAAGCCAGCGGCGCCTCGCAAAAGCGACGCGCCGCCCCTGCGCCATCCTGTGCGGCCTCGCGCGCCCACCTGCGCCACTGCTGACGCCGCTCCTTGCCGCCGCGGCCCTCCAGCTTCGCCGCCGGCCCGCGAGCCTCCTGCTCCGGCGCCTCCAGCTGGACGCAGGCGAGGTGGCTGAGCTTGTGGAGCTGGCGTTTCCACTTCCGAACCTCCTCCTCTGTCAACAGGTCGCCCCCCCTGGGTCCACAGCTGCCGACGAGCCCGCCTTGGCACGCAGGGCCTCCAGCTGCTCCAGCGCCTTGGGGATCGCCGCCCTGTCGCGCAGACTTCGGCGGCAGGCAAGCATCTCCCAGAGGGCGGCCGCGACGCGCCGCCAACGAGCGGACGCTGGGCAGCCTCTGGGGTGACGCCCGCCTCCCGTCATCAGCACGTCCTTCTCCGCACGCCGCGGCTCGGCCTCGCGCCCGGCGTAGAGGCACGAAACATCTGGCGCCACGTGGTGCAGCCCGAGCACGATGGCCTCCATCAGCTTGGCGAACTCCCCGTACAGCTGGTTCACCGTATCCTGCTGCCCCAGCTGCAAGTACTCCGCCTCGACAGTGGCCGCCCTTGCCGATGGTGAGGCTTGCGGTGGCGGGGGGAAGGGGTTGTGACGTTGCAGGGCTGAATCCTGCCCCTCTTCCCCCGGCAGGAGCTGGGCTGACAGCTAGGGTCCGAAGCTGGGCCCTGCGTCCGAGTCCAGCTCCCTACCGCCGCCAGCCTTGCCGCCTCCTCCTGCGTCGCCTGCCTGCTGCAGCTACTCCGCGCCCGTGCCGTCGATCACGTCCGTCCTCCTGGAGCGGTCGTGAGGTTGCCCCTGGCTTGTGGGCGGGGGGTTGGGGTGCTCCCAAAGCTGCTCCCCTCCGCGCCCACTCCGACACGCCGCTCCTCCAGTCACCTGCGGCCCCGCCCACGCTGCCCCTCCAGCAGCGGCGCGCTTCCCCAGCCGATCGCCGACGGCGGCCTGATGGCCCGCGACAACGCCGACTGCGGCCCGAGGGCCCGCGGCACTCGGGGGGCCCACGGGCACCACTGCTGACTCTGCTGCATGCCCACCAACAACAGCCCCTCCAACGCCATCGTCCGTGATCGAGGCGGGCTTGCCCCACTCGCTGTTTACCCCTTGGGTGCACCTGCTCCAGCAGAACATCTGGCGACTGAGCCAAGCCCCTCTCGCTGTTTACCTCGAGGGTGCACCTGAAGGCTGGGACTTGCGTGTTGTTGCCTTCCTCTCGTTCCGTGTCGGCGTGGGGCCTTGGCGAGAGCCGCTCTGGGTTCAGCGGCTCGCAAGAGGTTATGGCGATCTCCCGCACGGATCGACCCGCGGCACTCACGCCTCTACGTTGCACTGCAGCGTCCCGCGACCCCCCTGGCATGACGTCCTCGTCGACCGCCAGGTCACTGAGGCCATGGTCCTCGGTCGTGTACCCGTGCAGCCCGTGGATGACCTCGGCCCAACTCGCGCCGAGGTTCTCTCTCAGCCGCTTCAGCGATGCCTCGTCGGCGCCGACAGGAAGAATCCTCTTCATCCTCCTCCTCCTCCTCCTCCTCCTCCTCCTCCTCCTCCTCCTCTTCCTCCTCCTCCCTCTCTCCCTCTCTCCTCTCCTCCCTCTCCCCCTCCCTCTCCCTCCCCCCCCCCCATCCTCTCCTCTCCTCTCTCCTCTCCTCCTCCTCCTCCTCTCCTTCTCCTCCTCCCTCCCTCCCCCTCCTCTCCTCCCTCTCCCTTCCCTCTCCTCCCTCCCCCTCCCTTCTCCCTCCTCCCTCCTCCCTCTCCCTCCCTCCTCCTCTCCCTCCCTCCTCCTCCTCCCTCCCCCTCTCCCTCTCTCTCCCTCTCCCTCCTCCCTCCTCCCTCTCTCCTCCCCTCCTCCTCTTCCTCTCCCCTCCTCCTCCTCCCTCTCTCCCTCTTCCTTCTGCCTTCCTCCTCCTCCTCCCTCTCCCTCCTCCCGCCTCCCTCCTCCGCCTCCTCCTCCTCCTCCCTCATCCCCTCCCTCCTCCCTCCCTCCCCCTCCTCCCTCTCCTCTCCTCTCCTATCTCCTCATCCCTCCTCTCCTCCTCCTCCTCCTCCCTCCTCCTCCTCCTCCTCCTTCCTCCCTCCCCCTCCCCTCCCCCGCCTCTCTCCTTCTCCTCCTCCTCTCCTCCCTCCCTCCCTCCCTCCCTCCCCTCTCCCTCCTCCCCTCCCTCCCCCTCCCTCCCTCCTCCCCCCTCCCCCTCCCCTCTCCTCTCCTCCTCCTCCTCCTCCTCCTCCTCCTCCTCCCTCCCTCCTCCTCTCCTCCTCCTCTCCTCTCCGCCTCCCTCCGCCTCCCCGCCTCTCCGCCTCCTCGCATCCTCGCCTCCTCCGCTTCCCCGCCTCCCCCGACGCCTCCGCCGCGCCCGCTAGCCCTGTCCGCCTCCGCCTCCGCTGCGCCTCCGCCTCGCCTCCGCTCGCTCCTCCTCCCCGCCTCCGCCTCCTCTTCCTTCCTCCCCCCCTCTCCTCTCTCTGCTCCTCACTCTCCTCTCCTCCTCCTCCTCTCCTCCTCTCCTCCTTACTCCTCAACCGCCTTCCTCCTCGTGTCTTCTCCCTCTCTTCCTCCTCCTCCTCCTGCTCCTCCTCCTCCTCCTTCTCCTCCTCAACCTCCACCTCCTGCTCCTCCTCCCCCCCTCCCTGTGTGGCCTCCGCGCAATACCGAGAGAGCTGGACAGGATGACAACCTTGGCTAAGCCATGAGGCCCCGTGCAGGGCACCCGAGTCCTTCGCGTGGGCCGCGCTGCGAAGGTCCTCCTGACTGCAACGCCACTCTCCGAAGGCCATCAGAATCAACTGGCAGTCCACTCGGACCAATCATGGAGATGATCTGCAATCACGACTCTCAGAAACCAGGGCGCGGTGCGAAGAGACCCCCCCCCAAGCATCTGCACGTGCAGATGGGTGTGATGTTTGGGCTATCTCCAGCCTTCGCGAGCTCAGCAAGCAGCTTCCCCGTAGGCCTCCGCAATTGGATCCGAGTAGATGCGGTCGCGGGATGATGATGCGTCGGCGATGCATCAGCGAGGCGTCGGCGATGCGTCGGCGATGCGTCGGCATCGTCGGCGTGGGGAAAATCAGGCCCCACATCGATCCGCATCGCCGATGCGGCGCGATCCGCCGACCCCACCTGCTCAGGGAATGGGCAACACACACGCTCTGGCGATGATGTTTTGGTGCTGGGCCAAGACTCTGCTACCTTGGCTGCATCCTTGCCTGCTCAGCGAGTTCGAGCAAAAACACTATGATGTAGAGATGCGCTGCCTGCCGTCAGCGTTGTGGCACTGATGCCGAGAAGGCAATGCAAGACAATGCGTCCACCAACCTCCTGGGGGGCCCGGGCGTGCAGCACGTCGTGCTGCCACGCGGAGCGCCAGGAGGAGGAGCGGACGGGCGTCTCTGGCCACGGCGAGCCGCGGCCACGAGCAGGTCCCCCCGACCTCCCTCCAGGGAGAGCGGGCCGAGAACTAAGAGCCCCCTCCTGGATCGGACCCCCCCCCCCTGCCAGCTTCGACCCCACACGTGAAGGGGCCCAGGGACACACAACCTCCGTCCAGGGAGCGGACCGAGAACTAAGAGCCCCCTCCTGGGATCGGGCCCCCCCCCTGTCAGCTTCGACCCCACATGCGAAGGGGGCCCAGGGACACACAAATGAAGAGGCACAACTCCCAGGATCCCCCATCTCTTTTCTCCCATATTTCCTGGGCTTCTTGTCTTCCCACCCACTTCCCATGTTTTCCCCTATTTTCCGGGGAAGCGACGATGGATTGTGTCTGTCAGTTTTTTCCCTCCTGAACATGGGGCGGCCTGGATGCCTCCAGCTGGGCCGGCGCCCGAGGCAAAACGAGGGGCAGGCTGCAGCCCCTCCCCCCGCAAGCTGCGCCCCCGCCACGAAGGCGGAGCACGAGGTGCAGAGTGGACTCCTTCTGGATGTTGTAGTCGCTGAGGGTGCGGCCGTCCTGGGGCACCGTTCCCCCGCTCCCCGTGCCCCACCAGCGTGGGCGGGGCCCCACTGGCCGATCTGCCCCCCCTGGACAGGGGATCCGGGCTGCTCCCCTCGGGTTTCGAGGGGCAGACCCCCAGCCGAGGTGGCGAGACGGCGGGGCTCGAGGTGTGGATGGGGATGGGGATGGGGATCGGCCAAACGATGCAGTCGGGCTGCTGAAATCAGGAACGCCAAAGAAGGAGCGAAGCCCCTCTGTGGCTTTAAGAAAGCCTGGGTGCACGAGAAGGGCAAGACTGACCATCGCTCGGACGTCCATTCCCTGTGTTTTTTTTGGTTTCGTGCGTGTTTTTGTTCGCCAAATGGTCAAGGATGCTCCTCGATGGACCTCGCCGAAGGAAAAATGCACACGTCCGAGCGATGCCAAGAAGAGGAACAACCGCGGAGGGACGTGAGGAACATCGAGCCCCTTCCGGATCCAAACTGCTCCTTAGTTCAGCGTCTTGGCTGCACTAGTCCTCGCGCCGCCGCCCGCAGGGGCGCACACGCGCCACACGAGGGCAGCAAAAAACTGCACACACAGACACACACACACACACACACACCGTCAGGTCGGACAGGTCCCCCTACAGGCGGATTCTGGACGAAACATTAAACATAGCCAAAACTTGTTCAACAGTATCAAAATCGTAGAAACATCGTCCCCCAAGCTAATTTTGGTTTTACTATTTTTGAATATTACCCCTGTAGGGGGACTGGCCCGCCTTACATGTGTTACTCTGAGGCTCGGAACTGCGCCACAGTCCTCTGCACACAGACGCCCGCCCACGAGTTGTCCCTGTGCTCGGGGAGGGAGGGGGGGGGGTGCGGATCTCCGTTCGTGGATACCTACAGGGGAAACTCCAGAGGAGGGCCCCGTGGAAGCGTCTTGGGGGCATCCTGTCCGTCTATGGGGCGGCCTGGCGGGCCTCGTGGGTCGTCTCTAGGAGGCTGGTACGATCTCAGGAGAAGGTGAGCGTACGAAAGTCGTGCCAAGACCAGATGTTGCACGATGTTGGCACATTGGGGCCCTCAGGCCATCTGAGGCGCTTCGACAAAAATACTTCGGGGGCCTCTCTCGGGGTCATGGGGCGATCTTGCCAGGAAGGTTTCTCGCGACTCATCGTTATTGGCGATTTGGGAACAGTTGGATCCGATTTGGGGGCTGTTGGGGGCCACTGCTGGGAGATTTGCAAAAGTAGAGGGCGGTGCTGACAAGTTGGATATCCTTCTCCAAACTTATATTACCTCCCTCCTCCTCCTCCTGCTCGGATATCCTCACCGCTCTCGCCTATAGTTTCCTCTTCCTCCTTATCCTCAACCTCGCCACTCCTCCATAAGAACTCGACAACTGTCAAGACAATGCGACATACAAGCACAACGCACAGCTGAAAGGAAACTCAGATCAGCTGCTCTCGCGGCCAACATTTCACAGCCACAGACGGAGAGAGCAACCGAGAGACCGAGTCTCGCTTCAGTCCCGACCCTCCTCCTTCAACAGCTCGTCCTCCTCACTCCTGCTCCTCCTCCTCCTTCTACTCCTCCTCCTCCTCCTCATCATCGGCCGTCTTCTCCGCATCGGCATCATCAGTCGACAGGAGACTATAGCCGAGTCCTCCAGCTGCTTGCCGGCGAAGATGAGGCGCTGCTGGTCCGGGGGGATGCCCTCCTTGTCCTGGATCTTGGCCTCCCCACGGGTTCGCCGCTGCGCTGGACAGACACGTGTGGATGACCCTGGCAGCCCTGAACCCAAACACATTGACGTCTCACTCGTAGGTTTGAGGATGCCATGACAATGGACACTCTAACAATCCTATTATTGAATTAAGGATGTGTTTAAAATGTGTAAAACATATTCAAAACATGTTTCAAACCTGTTCTACATAAGCATGTTTGAAACATCTATTTAGACATCTGGAGATTGATTGGCAGCATGCTTCCTCTCCATAAATCGACTTCCACGATCTTACGTCCGAGAGGTCCCGCCGGCTGACCCGCGGCCGTGATGTTGCCGTCGGCTCCCGCCGACCTCTTGCCGAGGGCGAGCCGCGCCGGAAGCGCAACCCTCCCGGCACGCCCTGCTCCGGCACTCGCCGTGGTTATGCATCACCACGTGGCCCCCCATAGGTTTCGAATAACGGATCGACTACATAATTGAGTTACCCCAAAAATAACTTCCTCGTCGAGTCTACAAAAAGCTTTATATCTCTCATGGTTTCGAAGGAACCAACTAATTCTGGGGTACATCAATTCTGTAGTCGATCCCCGTACTCGCAAATTTGGACGCTTTCCCCACGGACAGATGTTTCAACAGGACCGTCTTGTGGGGATCCTGGGGCCGGGTGAGGCTCCCGGGAAGCCGAAAAGACTGTACAAGCCCCCCCGCCGTTTTTTTGGTTCCCGACGCGAGGACGTCTGTGCTCTCCCAAAAGCCGTCCGCTGTGGCAGCGTGACAGGAGGCGGGGCCGCAGGGACAGGGGAAGGAACACGCCGACCTGGAAGACAGAGCAACTACATCAACAATAGACTGTCGGAGGGCCGCGCGGATTTCCCGCGTAGGCGCTGACACCAGTATCGTGACCCTCGGCGAGGGAATTCGGAGGAGGTGTGTGCGAATGTTCGGGGAGGTTAGGAGGCACGGAACGCAATTTGCAAGTTAAGACAACGCTCAGCGTCACATTGCCCAGCCACAAGCATTTTCACTCGTTCGGCGCAGCGCTGCTCCCAAACTCTTGAAACTTCGCATGCTAAATGATATCGTAGAGCATCTAGCAGTGGCCCTGTTTTTGCACGCGACGCAAACTGCTCCTCTGAGGACGGGGATGGAATGGCAATTCGGGAGAAGAGGCAAAGGTGGAGGAGGATAAGGAGAAGGCCAAACATTCCATGGCAATGGAAAATCAGAAAAGAGAGAGAGAGAGAGAAAGAGAGAGAGAAAAGAGAGAGAGAGAGAGACAGAGATAGAGAGAGAGAGAGAGAAATAGAGAAAGAGAAAGAGAAATAACGTGCCCGTGGCGCACTCCTCCCAAAAGGGGGGGCCCTTAACTACCCCACCCCCCTTGGGCCTGCCCTGCCAGAAGCCCCCCCCCTCATTTTGTTTCGCCCCTCGGAAGCTACCCCCCCTTCTTTTCCAAAGGGGGGAGCTTAGATATCCCCCACTTGAACCTCCCCTGCCGGAAGACCACCCTATTTTTTTCTCGCCCCTCGGAAGCTAATGTCATCTTGTGTTAAACAAATCCGTGGGGGGCGCGTGTTACAAAATAATTCCCCTGCTCGGGCGAATCGCGGGATGGCGCCCGCCAAAGTGAAAATCAGCGGGGCGGCGCCGGTGATTAGCGCCGACGCCCAGCCGCCAACGAGGGGCAAAGGGGGGGGAGGCAAGAACGAGCCAGGGCGCCCCTCCTTCTGTCGAACCGATGCGGGCCTGCGGGCGAAGCGGGCTGGACGAAAGTGGGGCGCAGCAAAAGGGGGATTTGCCAAGCAGCTCACGTCGCCAATTTTCCAAGCGCCTCCTGGCGCCGAAAGCGGCCATACGTCGAGGACTGGCCCTTCGGCGGGGCGACCAAAACCAGATGTGCGCAGCAGGCTTTGCATCCCCCCCTCTCCTTCCCCACCCTCCTGCTCCTCCTGCTCCTTCTTCTCCTCCTCGTCATCGTCCTCGTCCTCATCCTTCTCCTCCTTCACCCCCCCTCCTCTCTCCTCCTTCCCCCTGCTGCGCGTGATTTTTGTTTAAAAAGTGTCGCGCCCCGCGGGGTCTGATCATCAGCCCAAGGGGGGGGGGGGGGGGCCTTTTGTTAATCACAAGCTGACATTCCCCCTGCCCGTCCGCGCTCCGGAAGCTCCCCCCGCCCTTTCTTTCCGAAAGGGGGGGGCTTAGCCCCCCCCCCGCCCTTAAGCCTCCCCTGCCGGAAATCCTCTCCCCCTACCTTTTTTTTCCGCCCCTCGGAAGCTACCCCCCCGCCGCTCCTTTCGCGCTCCAGAAGCCTCCCCCCCCGTCCCTGGCCCAAAGGGGGAGGGGGGGATTAGCAATCCCCCCGCATTGGACTTTCCCTGCCCGACCCCCCCCCCTCGTCCCCCCACCAGGCGCCGAAAACAACACAAAAGCGAAAAACTGCGAAACCCAACGCTGCCCCGAAAACCAAAACAGCGCAAACAAAAACAAAGAGCGCGGGAATAAGAAAGAGCGCGGAAACCCCAAGGAGCACGAAGAACGAAAGAAACGCCAACGAAAAGAACACCACAACCGAAACGAGCGCCAGAAACCAGAAGGGCGCCGAAAACCAAGAACGCGCCGAAAACCAAAGGCGCGCCAGAAACCAAAAATGCGCCGCCAACCAATATGTCACCACACTCGAAGGACGCGCAGCAAACGGAATGGCGCGCCGAAAACCAAACGAGCGGCAGAAACCAAAGGAGCGCAGTAAACCAAAAGCACACCGAGAATCCAAATGGCGCCGAGAACCCCAAAACACCGAAAGTCCAAGGAGCGCCGAAAACCAAAAAGGGCGCCGACACCCAAAAGAGCGCCGAAAGCCAAAGAACCAACAACGCGCCAGAAACCAAACGAGCGCCGACAACCACAACGGAACCGGTCACCCAAACGGACTCAGGACATAAGATATGCTCCGGCAACCAACAAGGCGTCGAAAACCAAATGAGCGCCGCAAGCACAAAAAGCGCCGAAAACAACAAGAGTCGCCACAAGTCAAAGAGTCCCGAACAAACCAAGACTTCGCGGACAATTGCAAATGCGCCGAAAACCAAAGGAGCGCCAAAAACCAAATGCGCGCCAAAAACCAACAGGGCGCCGAAGACTTATCAGACGCCGAGAACCTTCGATTCGCCGAACACCGACTGAGCGCTAACAAAATCTTAGGACGCCGAGAATCAAAGAGGCGCCCAAACCTAAAGGACCACCGAAAGCAAGAAAGGCGCCAAAAAATACAAGAACACCGAAACTCAAAAGGACCCCGAAAACACACGATGCAACAAGAACCCACATATTGCCGAAAACCAAATCGACGACGACCCAAAATGCGCCGAAAACCGGAGCGGCCCTGAACACCACATGGAGGCTCCTTCTCCTTAGGCGATCCCTGCCGAAGCTCCCCACGCCTCCTTCCTTGTTCGGCGAAATGGGGAGGATGGCTTGGAAAGCCCCCCCCCTGCGGCTAAAGGAAGGCTCCGAGAACAAAAGACCGCCGACAACCAAAGGGCGACGAAGACCAATGACACGCTGGAATCCAACAGAGCGCACTACAGATAAAAACGCACCCGAACACCAAGGAGGTGCCAAAATCCTACAAGGCACCAAATGCGAACAGAGCGCCCGAAACCAAAAGAGCTGCAAACATCCAAAGAAACCGAACAACAAAGGAACGTCGAAACCCAAAGCACTGCCAAAATCCGGATGGGCAACGACAACCAAAAGGGCGCCGAAAACCTACCGGACGCCGAACACCAAACGAGCGCCAAAAGGAAAGTAGCAACGAAACCCAGCTGGCGCCGAACACCAAGCGGACGCCGAAAACAAAAGAGCCGACGAACTCCAAAAAGGGCGCCGGAAACCGACGAGGAAGCGCCGAAAACCCAAAGATACGCCGAAAACCAAACGATCGTCGAAAACCATGGCGGCGCCGAAAACCAAAACAGCGCAAAAAAACAAGAATCCACCAAAAACCAAGACACCAAAAACCAACGGATCGCCGATCTCAGCTGCGGAAAGGAAAGGGTGGGTAGCTTCCGAAGCCCCCCCCCCCCCCTTGAAAGGAAAGCCTGGGCTCACCTTGGGCTCCAGGAAAGGGAGGGAGGAGAGGGCAGCTTTGAAGCCTCCCCCTTGGCAAGGCAATCTCGGGGGGGGTCTTTCGAAGCCACCCCCCCCCTTGAAAGGAAAGCCCGGGCTGGCCTTCGGCTCTGGAAAAGGCAGGGCGCGGGTAGCTTTGAAACCCCACTCCTTGGCAAACCAATGTCAGCCGCGAAAAGGAAGGGGGGGAGCTTCCGAAGCCCCCACCCTTTGAAAAGCAAGCCCGGGCTAACCTTGGCCCCGGAGATGGAGGGGGGGGGTAGCTTCCAAGCCCGCCCCCCCTTCAGCCAGGGCCCCCCTAGCTAAAACATGCCCTCGAAAGGGGGGAGGGAGGGGGGGGGAGGGGTAGCTTGAAGCTGGGGCTCCCCTTTTGATGAGACGTGCGCCACAAGCGCGATGCATGCCATGTCTCAGAGATCATGGCATGAATGCCATGAAGTGGACCCCCCTTTCAGAGATCATGGTATGCATGATCCAGGGTCCTCAGCCCCCAATCCCGTCGGTACCCATCGGTCGGAAAAAGTAGGTAGAAACATAAAGTAGGAAGGCGCTGAAAGTAGAAGATTGGGCTCCGTCCGTCCCCTGAGGAGGATGGCGAAGGTGAAGCCACTCGATCTTTGAAGTAGGGAGGCGCCTAACGTAGATTGGGATCCGGGACTCCAAAAATACCTTACTTTCAACGACCGATGGGCATGGCGTCCCCCGTGCCCCGGGTGTGGGCTCCCTGGAGGCGAGGGCGAGGGCGGTGATGGGTTCGCTGTTCGACTTGGCGTCGGCCCCCTTCCCTGTGGGCGTGGTGGGGAGGGAGGCGAGTGGTTCGACTCGGCGCTGTCCCTCCCTCCCCCTGCAAGTGTCGTGCTGGGGGGCACGGGGGTAGGCAGTGAGTGGCCGGGTCCGGCGAAGCCCTTCCCGCCCCCCTGCAGCTGTGGTGTCGGCAGATGCGCGCGGTGGTGGGGAACGGGGGGACGATCTCAACATGCCCCATTCCTCGTCGTCGCCTGCTCCCCTTCCTCACTATCCTCCTTCAGACACATCCTCATCGTCATCACCATCCTGGCCTGCTCCTCTTCCTGCTCCTTCTCTGCAGCCTCGTCCTCGCCTGCCTATCCTCATCATCCCCCTTTCTTCCACAACCCAATTCTTATATTGATACTCATCCTTGCGTGCTCCTCCCCATCCATGTTTGTGTGTGTGTGGCCTTTGTGCTCTCTATCCCTTGCCTCTTCCTCCCCCCCACCCAGACAGGGCCCATTACCCTCCATCGTCTCCATATTTCCCCGCCTCGCTCCCGTCCATCAGCACCTCCTCGTCGATGCTCCTCCTCAATCCTCCTTGGGCAGCCAACGAATGCTGCATGGGTCTCCTGCCCAACCCAACCACCCCTGTGGGTGACGACGCTGCCACCGGAAACCGAAAAACCACCCCCAACCTAGCTTGGCTCCCCCTCCCTACATGGGGGGGCAAGCGGATGTGGGGTATCCTCTCTTGTGCCGTCGATTGCAAGACAGTCTCAGAGGCGGGTGTCGGAGCCCCCTCGGCCCAATACCACAGAGGGGTGGCTCCTTGCCAGTGCTCCCCGGAACTGAGCGAGAATGTCAAAACAACAACAACAAAAAGCCGCCAGCCCCGAGAACAACCAACCGCCTTCACGTTGTCGATCGTGTCCGACGCCTCGACATCGAGGGTGATGGTCTTGCCCTGCGCAAAGCCCGGGGTCGCCGTGTTTCTGGGCCCTCCTTGCTGTTCCATACCTACATCCATCCTCATCCTTTCATGCTGCTTATCATTGTATCACATACGCACGCATTTGTTTGTACACACCTATATGTATTTACGCATACATACATACATACACTAGAGCCATCGCGCTTGGCGCGCGCACACCAGCAGGTTTTCGGGGAAAATGACTGCGTAGGGAGCGGAGACCGCATGAACCGGGTTCCCACAAGGTCTTCAGGGAACCTGGAATTTGGGGGCGTTTTGGGGAGCCTCTTGGGGCGCGCCGTCGTCATCGTCGTAATGACGTCGTCGCCTGTTGGGGCGCGCCGTTGTCGTCGTCGTCGTCGTCGTCGTCGTCGTCGTCGTCGTCGTCGTCGTCGTCGTCGTCGTCGTCGTCGTCGTCGTCGTCTTCGTCGTTTCGTCGTCGTGGGTTCAAGAGGGCACTTTGGGCAACCTTGGGCGAAACGATATGCGGGGGGCCGCGAGCAGGCGATCTGTCATGCTCCAAATAAACTTCCCAGACAACTCTCCGGTAGCGTGATGGTAATCCGGAGCCTCGGGAGACTCTGGGGCCCATGATGCCACCATGCATGTCCTGGGAAGGCTTTCTGGGGAAATGATTTGTTGGGGTGTGTTGGGAGGCCTTTTGGGCCTTCCCTGGAGGCCCCTCGGGGGCCTCCTGAAATTCTCGGGTTCATGATGAAGGCCTTGTGGGGACATGGTTTCTTGGGTTATGTTGGGGGGGTCGTTTGGGCGTTCCCTGGGAGCCCCTTGGGGGTCTTTTGGCGCTTCCTGGGGGCCTTCTGAGCGCCTCACAAGGCTTCGTGGGAGCCTATTGGTGGCTTCCGGGGGCCCACTCGGGGCCTGTATGGACAGAAACCTCGCAATATCGGTTGGCAGTCCCCCTCTGCGCCTCCTCTTGGGGGGCTCTTGGGGCACACTTGTACTGTCTCGGGGGTCTCCTTGGCCGTCTTGGGGCCTCCTTCGGGGTTTCGTGGGCCGTCGTGGAAGGATCTGAAGGGTCTCCGAAGCCGTGGGGGAACGCTGGGAAGCGGGGGAACCGAAAACGCCAAAATCCTTCAAAAACCCTGGGGACATGAACGAATGTTGCCTCCCAGGGCCCTTTGGGGGAGCCTTTGGCGTCCGTCATGGAGCGCGTTGGAGTCCTCATCGGCTGTCTTGGGGGCATCTTGGGCATCTCCGGGGCCTCTTAGGACCGTCTTTGGCCCGCTCGGGGCCCCCTTCGGGAACGCATGAAAAAAAAACGCCCCCCGCCCCCCGCACGAGAAACCTTAGACCAGTGGGACCGTCGAGCGACGCGCGAACTGCAAGCGGAACTTGCTCGACGGTCAGCCAACGACAACGCCGCGCAACTCAATGCGAACGGCACGGTGCTGCTATGCTCATTGGCGTTTGAACTCGGCGTTTCCTTGTGATGGCGCGCGGTCAGCGCCCATAATCATTGTGGACATTCGCGCGCTCGTGTCAGCGCAAAAACCATGGGCGCGTCGGCCCTTGGCGGCGCTGGCAAGAGCCCCAGGCGGCGCCCGGGGCCCGCCCCGGGCGGGCGCGCATCGAAAAACTCAGATCCACTCCAAAAGCAAAATTTAGGCACCAGGCGAAAAAGTCTATATAAACTACCTATACAATCAAACTAAGCTTCTCCGAGGCAGAATGTCTCGCGCGGGAAAGCCCCGAAAAGTCGATATAATCCGAAATGTGCGTTCATATAAGCGCCAAAAAATATGGTGGACCTGTTGCTATAAAAGAAACGCCCCCGATGTAAACTTCTCTGTCGGCGGGGCTATGAGGGGGCGACGGAGACGGGCGCGGGAGCCCTCGGCTGGGCCAGCGGCGTTGCTGTGCGAGGGACAGCGCCGCCGTCGCCTCAAACTGCATGCCGCGGCCGCGGCACGCGCGGCCCTGGGAATGCCGGCGCGGGCGCGGCCGCGTCGAGCGGGTCCAAGACGTCGCCGCGCGCGCGGGGCCCCTCTTGCGGCAGCTGGCAATGGTCTCGCCGACAGGGCGCCTACACTTACGCTCGTTCGCCGTGGATTGCAAAGCGGTGTCATGTAAAATCCATCGTTGTGGGGGCTGGGGTCGGTTTCCCACTGTTCATGTAGCCTGTTGTGGCACGTTTCGGGGAGGGGCTGGGCCGCCTCGGGAGCTCTGGGCCCCCCACACAACTCCCGGCGGGCACCCATGGGGGGAACAGGCAGCGGCCCGTCCCCCTCCCCCAGCCTACTCCGGTATACATATATATATATATATATATATATAAATATATAGCTACATATATACACAAGCATACATATATGTATATATATACATACAGATATATACATATACTCTTGAACTGGACGTCAAGCGCAGCGTCCTACGCAGCGCTGGGGGCCAGCTAGGCTTCTGCAACTGGCTAACCACAACCTGCTGGCTCTCAATTTCCCAACCTCCTCCAACTGACGAAAAGGCAATATTCAAACACCTCAGACGCGACGTGCCCAGGAAACACATGTAGGTATATATATATATACATACATCTACATATATATATATATATACACACTATAACAATACACTCCTGAGCTGGACGTCAAACGCGGTGTCCTACGCAGCACTGGGGGCCAGCTGGGCTTCTGCACCCCATCCTGCTGGCTCTCAAGATTCCCAAATCCTCCAACTGACGAGAAGACACGACACAAACAACTCGGACGCGACGTGCTCGGGGATCTTGGCCAGAAGTTGTACCAGATGCCGCGGTCGGGTCGCGGTGGGCAACACATACATCTGCACAGCCCATCGGTTATGGATGCGTCGATTACCCGCCTTCAGAGACAGTAAGTAGTTCTTAACTGTAAGCGCGGCACCAGACTGAAGCACCAGGCTAAAGCATCAGGCTTAATCGTCTTGCTAAAGCACCACCCTGAGGCACCGGGCTGAAACACCAGGCAAAGGCACCAGGCTAATGCACCAGGCTAAGGCACCAGGCTAATACACCAGGCTAAGGCACCAGGCTAAGGCACCAGGCTTAACCACCAGGCTAGCAGCACCAGGCTAACAGCACCAGGCTAAAAGCTTGGTGCTTTCACCTGTTGTCGCTCCTTTGGCGCCGATAGCCTGGTGCTTTAGCGTGACGCCGCTCCTCTGGCCTGTAGTCTCCTTAGCCTGGTGCTGTTAGCCTGGTGCTGTTCTGCCGGGTGCCTCAGCCTGGTGCATCCGCCTGGTACCTTAGCTTGGTGCCTTAGCCTGGTGCATTAGCCTGGTGCATCAGCGTGGTACCTTAGCCTGGTGCCTTAGCCTGGTGCCTTAGCATGGTGCCGTAGCCTCGTGCGGTTCGCCTGGAGACGCTCATCTTGTGCAGTTGGTCTGGCGCCGTTAATCTGATGTATTCAACCTGGTGCCTTTAAGACAGTACCTTAGTCTGGTGCCGTTAGCCTGGTGCTGTTAATCTGGTGCCGTTGGTCTGGTGCCGTTAGTCTGGTGCCTTCAGCCTGGTGCCCTGGCCTGGTGCCTTTAGCCTGGTGCCTTTTGCACTGGTGCCTTTAGCCTGGTGAGTTAGCCTGGTGTTTTATGCCTTAGCCTAGTGCTGTAACCTCGTGCGGTTAGCCTGGAGACGTTAAACTGGTGACGTTGGATCGGCGCCGTTGATCCGGAGCATTCAGCCTGGTGCTTCTACTATGGTGCCGTTGGTCTGCTGCTCTGAATAACATGCCTTTAGCCAGGTGCCCTGGCCTGGTGCCTTTAGCCTGGTGCCTTTTACCCTGGGGCCTTTAGCCTGGTGCCAGACTCTGGTGCTTTAGCCTGGTGCGGTTAGCCGGGTGCGTTTAGCCTGGTGATCTTAGCCTGGTGACTTTTTGCACTGGTGCGGTTAGCTTGGTGCGGTTAGCCTGGTGCAGCTCGCCGCGTGCGGTTAGCCTGATGACTTAGCCTGGTGCGTTTAGCCTGGAGCGGTTCGCCTGGTGCGGTTCGCCTGGTGCGGTTCGCCTGGTGCGGTTCACCTGGTGCGGTTCGCCTGGTGAAGTTAGCCTGGTGCGGTTAGCCTGGTGCGGATAGCCTGGCGCGTTTAGCCTGGTGCATTTAGCATGGTGCTGTTAGACTGGTGCGTCTGGGCTGGTGCCTTTCGCCTGGTGCCTTCAGCCTGGCGCCTTAGCCTGGTGCCTTAGTCTGGTGCTGTTAGCCTGGTGCCTTAGTCTGGTGCCTGACCCTGGTGCCTTAGTCTGGTGCCTTAGCCCGGTGCCTTAGTCTGGTGCCTTAGCCAGGTGCCTTAGGCTGGTGCCTTAGTCTGGTGCTTGAACCTGGTGCTTTAGCCTGGTGCGGTTAGCCTGGTGCGGTTAGCCTGATGACTTAGCCTGGTGCGGTTCGCCTGGTACGGTTCGCTTGGTGCGGTTCGCCTGGTGCGGTTCGCCTGGTGCGTGGAGCCTGGTGCCTTCAGCCTGGTGCCTTCAGCCTGGTGCCTTAGCCTGGTGCCTTAGTCAGGTGCCTTAGCCTTGGCCTAAGTCTGGCGCCTTAGCCTGGTGCCTTAGCCTTGCGCCATAGCCAGGTGCCTTAGTCTGGTGCCTCAGTATGGCGCTTGAACCTGGTGCTTTAGCCTGGTACCACGCTAACGGTTCAGAACCCAACGTTTACAATTAAGACTTCCTTCCGCCTTCAGAGGGCGGGAAACATCACATTCCAACGCTCCTGCGAGAGAAGGTTTGCGGAGCCAGCCCGCTGGCGGGCCACCGCAGATGGGCGACAACGAAAACAACAGGAACGGGAGGGGCAAGGGGACGGGAGAAAAACCACAAGGAGGACGATGAACAATCATATTTACAACATGATCATGAACCAGAGGAAAGGTGGAGAAGGAGACAGGAAGACAGGTGAGGAGGGATTGGGACGATGGAGGAACAGAGGAGAAAAATAATGCGTATAGGGGGGGAGGGCGACGACGAGCAAGAGCAGCATCTGTCCCGCTGAAAGGATGCAGAACACTTGCTCGTCCTCCCCCCCGACTTCAATGACGTCCTCCTCCTCGTCCGTCCGTCGCATCTGCGCCGAAACTGGCGCTCTCGATCGGAATTCCATCAAGCCGCCCGCCATTCCTCGTCCTCCTCCTCCTCGTCCTGCTGCCCCCCTCGTCCTCCTCGCGCATGTCTTCGACGACCTCTTCGCCTTCATCGCCGACCCCATCCTCGACTACCTCCTCCTCCTCCTCCGCCTCCTCGCCCAGGTTTTCCCCTCGTTCTCCTCCCCGACCCCTTGGTCCTCCTCCGCGCCCTTCCCTGAGATCCAACCTGGCGAACAAACAAAGATCTAGAAACATCACAACTGGGACCTGTGACCCCATATTTCTGCCTCATGTTTGGAGCCAGATCGATCTACGATGGTCCCTGGGCCTGAAGCCGGACAAAAACGTCCGCTGTGAAAGATTGCAGCGCCTGGATCTCAGAGGTCCTGGTCTTAGGTCGGGCACGTCCTCCTAGAGGCGGATTTTGGATGAAAAATAAACCATAGCAAAACAACATGTTCAAACATAGTTTAAATCAGTTTGATAAGAAACACCGTCCTCATATTATGTTTTGACTAATTTTGAAGCTTCCTCCTGTAGAGGGACACGCCCGACTAAATCCTGGTCCTCCGCCGCGCCCCTGCCCTCCTCCTCCTCCTCCTCCTCCTCCTCCTCCTCCTCCTCCTCCTTCTGCTCCTCCTCCTGCTCCTCGCCCGCCCCGCCGAGGAACCGCGAGGGGCGGGGGCGGGCTGCAGGCCGTCAGAGTCTTCACGAAGATCTGCATGGCTCTCCAGCCGAGGCTGCCGCCCCGGTCGGCCTCTCCGCCACCGCGAGGGCAAGTGCATTGGTAGAGGGCAGAAACGCCACCCTTGGTAGAGGGAAAGTGCATTGGTAGAGGGTAGAGGGCAAGTGCATTAGTAGAAGGCATTGGCAAGTGCTATTCCTGCTGCATACCTTTCTGTCGGCTCCTTCTGCTGCTTGATCCCCCTGTCTCATCCTCCTCCTCATCCTCCTCCTCCGTCAGCAAAAAGTCCTCCTGCTGCTGCGGATGGGGCGGCCGGTTTGCAAGTCGCGTGGCCGCTCGAGGAGGAGCGGGAGGAGAACGAGGAGAAGGAGGAGCAGCAGCAGCAGCAGCAGCAGGACGGAGAGGGAAAGGGAGGAGGGATGTGAAGGGTGAGGAGGGAGGTGAGAGGTAGAAGGGGGAGGGGAGAAGTGTAATTATCATGATGATCATCAAGCGCATCATGATTGTCGTGATATTCATCGTTATCATGATCAGCATGGCCATCATCACCATTTACACCGACATGATCACCATGATCATCATGATCATGATGGTCATCATCATGATCATCAACAACAGCAGTATCATCATGGTCATCATCGTCTGCATGATCATCATCAGCATCATCCTCCTCATCATCATCGGCATCATCATCAACATCATTAGCATCATCATCAGCCTCATCAACATCATCATCATCATCATCATCATCATCATCATCATCATCATCATCATCATCATGATCACCATCACCATCATCGACATCGTCTGCGTCATGGCCGTCACCGCCGTTGTCGTCATCATCTTAACCACCACGATCTCTTGGTCAACATCGCCGTCATCCTCGTCGTCGCCTCCCTTCCTGCCGGCTCCTTCTCCTCCCACCTCCCGTCCTGCCGGCTCCTCCTGCTGCATGCTCCTCCTGCATCATCGCTCGCCGCCTACACCTCATGCACCATCACAATCACTGCCTGATGCCTCCTCCTGTTCCTCATCATCATGCCTCCTACTAAGTGTCGTCCTCCACAACGTCATCCTTGACCTCGCCTTCGCCCTCGCCCTTATTCTCATCCTCATCGTCATCCTCATCTTCTTCCTCCTCACAATCCTCATCATCGTCGGTATCAGCATCACCATCATCATCACCATCACCATCATCATCATCGTCATCATCAGCATCATCATCATCAGTATCAGCATCGTCATCACCATCATCAGCATCATCACTACCACCACCATCACCACCACCATCATCATCGTCATCGTCGTCGTCATCAGCATCATCAGCATCATCAGCATCATCATCACCAGTATCATCATCATCATCACCATCATCAGCAGCATCATCATCATCAGCATCATCATCATCATCAGGATGACCAGCATCATCATCATCAGCATCATCATGATTCATATCATTAACATCAGCATTAACATCATCATCATCATCATCATCATCATCATCATCATCATCATCATCATCGTCGTCGTCGTCGTCGTCGTCGTCGTCGTCATCGTCGTCATGGAAGGAGTGCGGAGGAGTGTGAGGGAATGGGAGAGGTCTGGTACAGGGCTGGCCGAGGGGTACGCAAGAATGGGACGCGCCTGGAGGTTTTGGGCGGAATGTGCAGGGGCTGTGGAGAAATGGGAGGGTTTACGGAGGTTTTGGACGGGCGGAGGATGTGGAGAACAAGGGAAGGACTGCGGAGACTTGGGGAGCTGCGGAGGGGTGTGGAGGAATGGGAGCGGTCTGGAGGTTTTGGGAGGAATGCGGAGGCTGTGGGAGGAACGGGAGGGGCCCGGAGGTTTTGGCAGGAATGTGGATGGGGTGTTCCCAGATGTGGATGACTGGAAGTGGTCTGGAGGTTTTCGGGGGATTGGGAGGGCTGCGGAAGTTTCCGGTGGAAGGCGGAGAGGTGTGGAGGAATGGGAAGGGTCCCAAGGAGGTTTCGGGCGGAGTACAAAGATTGTGGGAGGAATAAAGACGTCTCTTACTGCGATTGTGATCGGCACCGTAAAATAACCAAATACCCATCAACGCACGATCGAATATCCAACATCTTCTCCTTTATCCTCGCTTCCTCAATTTTCCCCGCGTTGCTTTCCTTTTTCTCCGCTCCTCGTTTCTCTCTTCAGGGAGCCTTCAGAGGCCCCAAGAGGCTCTTCAGAGGGTCCAAAAGGCTCTTCAGAGGCGTCAAGGGGGTCTTCAAAGACCCCAAGAGGCTTTTCAGAGGCCCCAAGAGACTCTTCAGAAGCCCCAAGAGGCTCTTCAGAGGCCCTAGGGGACTCTTCAGAGGCCCCGAGACCTGCCCGGCATCACCGTTCTCGAGGAATCCTATAATCTGGAGAGTCCTTGGTCGCACTAAAACCCACGAGGCCGCAACAAAAGCCCATCTGGCCGCAATTGAACCTTCTGTCGGTGTCCTGGTGGGTGTTCGGGCTCCTACATACCCCCCCTGTGGCCTCCGAGGCCTCCGAAGAGCTCCAAGAAAGCCCCTGAGAGCCCAAACGGCGTGTCCGGACAGTCCACGCGAGCATCGACACAGCCCAAGTCCCACGAGGGCCCAAGAATACTCCCAGCGGACCGCCGAGAGGGCCCCAAGAAGCAAAAATCGCCCAAATCCTATAGGAAAACGCGCGTGTTCTGCATATTTGCTTCTCTGTCTAAGCAGCGTCCAAGAGGGCTCAGACAGACGGCCCAAAAGGCCCACAAGACGGCCCAAGCAGCCGACATTGGTCCAAGACGGCTCAAGCAGCCCCCGAAAGGGCCCCGAGACGGCCCAAGAGGGCCACAGGGCGCCTAAGACTGCCAACGGGCCCCAACAGGACTCAAGAGGGGCCCAAGAGGGGGCAACTGAGACTGAAATGAGGCCCCCGAGACCACCAGCCTTCCGCCTCAAGAGGCCCCCAGCAGGTCCCAAGAGGCCCTCAAAAGGCCCCAAGAGACCCCCAAGATGCCCCCACGAGACCCCAAGAGGTCCTCAAGATGTCCGAACGAAGCCTAACAACTGCCCCCGAGAGGCGTCCAAACTGCTCCCGAAAGGCAACCGATAGGCCTCCCACGAGATCCCAGCGACCATCCAATAGGCTTCATGCCCACGACCCCTATGCACGGTGGCGGAATGGGCCGAAGGCCATTATCTATGTCACTGTGCTTGTATCTAACTCAACAACTTGGTTTATGTCTTTCTTGACAAAACAAACGCCCTGCTGTTGTTGTTGTCCTACCATGTTGCGCTTCCAGCCCTTGACATGTTCAAAACGATTGACAAACGCGACGTGTTTGTTAGCGTGTCTAGCTCCGTTGCTTTACAGCTTGTTTGGCCCGTCACGGTGGATCATCATTGATCCTTGTTTAAACGATGTTGTTGGTCTGGTCGAAACTTGTCCCTTCTCGTCACTGCTGCCGTAGCTCCTGGTGATTCGTTTCTACCGCCGATCTCCTTCTCAAAACTACGGATGCAAGCAACAAATATCCGGGCGAAGGGACCTACCATATGCAGTTGTGAATACCGTCGTTGTGGATACCGCCTTCAGTGGATCTCCTCATGGGGCCTTGGTGGAGCCGTCCGTCCGTGAGGCCACGAAATGCGGGAAACGTGTGAGGGGATGGGCGGGGGCGACGCATGCGAACGGTGGCACTGAGACGTTGGGTGGAGCTCCCATGGGGCCATAAAGCGTGTGAGGCGTGTGACGTGGCGGGGACGCATGCGGGTGGCACCAGATGCGCCTTGGGTGGAGCTCCCTATGGGGCCACGAAGCGTGCGAGGGGTGTGTGCCGAAAAATGTGGCGGGAGCGCATGCGGGCGGCACCATGTGGGCCTTGGGTGGAGCTTCCTATGAGCCACGAGACGTGTGAGCGGTGTGCCGAAACGGATGGCGGGGACGCATGCGGGCTGCACCATTTGGGCATTGGGTGGAGTTCTCTATCGGACCGCGAGGCGTGTGATGGGTGTGTCGACATGCATGCGGGCGGCACCATGTGGGCATTGGGTGGAGTTCCCAATGGGGCCACGAAACTTGGGGGTGTGCCGAAACGGGCGGCGGGGACGCATGCGGGCTGCACCATATGGGCCCTGGGTGGAGCTCCCTCTGGGGCCACGAAGCGTGCGAGCGGTGTGCCGAAATGGGTGGCGGGGACGCATGCGGCCGGTACCATTTGGGCCTTGGATGGAGCTCCCTATGGGGTCACGAAGCGTGTGAGAGGTGTGCCGATGTGGCCGGGGCGCATGTGGGCGGCACCATTTGGAACTTGGGTGGAGCTTCCTATGGGGCCACGAAACGTGTGACGGGTGTGCCGAAATGGGTGGCAGGGACGCATGCGGGCGGCAAAATTGGGGGCTTGGCTGTGAACTCTCTGTGAGGCCAGGAAACGTGTGAGGGGTGTGCCGAAATCGGAGGCGGGGACGCATACGGTCGGCACCATTTGGGGCTTGGGTGGGGCTCCCAATGGGGCTACGAAGCGTGTGAGGGGTATGTCGAAATGGATGGCGGGGACGCATGTGGGCGGCACTATTTGGACCTTGGGTGGCGCTCTTAATCGAGCCACGACACGTGTGAGCGGTGTGCCGAAATGGATGGCAGGGACGCACGCGGGCGGCACCACTTGGGCCTTGGGTGGAGCTCCCTATGGGGCCACGAAACGTTTGAGGGGTGTGCCGAAATGGGTTGCGGGGGCGCTGTCGGGCGGCACCAAATGCGCCTTGGGTAGAGCGCCCTGTGGGGCTACGAATGGGTGGCGGGGGCGCATCGGGCGGCACCATTTGGGCCTTGGGTGGAGTTCCCAATGGGGCCACGATGAAACGTGTGATGGGTGTGCCGAAATGGTTGACTCGTGCGGAAGGCAGAGGCACGGATGGAAGGTTGGAAAATCAAGAGGATTGGGATGAGGAAGGAGGCGGAAACGAAGACCCACCCAACACTACAAGCTGGTGGGGAAACAGCGATCCAACACTGGTCTAACATTGGCCCGCAAAGGGCCCGAGGCCCGATGCCCCAGCCAGCAGCGAGGGCAAGATAATAACAATAGGAGCAATGTTCATGATTCTATAGATATGGAGAGGACTGCATACCAGGAATATGAGCTGAAGACGTCGTAGACGGCAATGACAATCAATGTAACCAACTGGTATGAACGCGCAAGACAATGCATTTACGCAAAATCTATGAATCGGTGTTTGCTGGCATGTTTGGTTTTCTTGTTGGGGCCTAACAGCGCTAAAACATGATTCCTAACACGCAGAATTAAAAACTGATTCAAAGCAAAAAACGCCATCGGCAGATCTAAACACAGCCAGGCTCAACAACACTCTCGAGTCCAGTTCTAACAGATCTCCTTGAGAAGTCTACGAGGGTTCGATGTAGCCCTGATGGGATCTTACGAGGGCTCGATCCACCTCAAACAGTATCCGACAAGGGCTGGACCCAGCTCTACTAGAATCCGAGTAGTGCTCAATCCAGCTCTGATCGAATCCGACTACGGTAGGGTCCAGCTCTACGCAGCAGAATCAAGGCAAGGCTGGATCCAGGTCTGATGGAATCCTACTGAGACTCTGTCCAGCAAAGATGGACACTCCCTATAAATTTGGATCCAGTCCTGGTGGAATCCAGCTGGGGCCCAATCCAAGTTCGACCGACTCCTGCCAGGTCTGGGTTCTACTCCAACAGCATCCCACTAGGGCCCGGTACAGCTTAAAATCGAATCCTGCTGGGCGCCCGCTCCACCATACAATCGCACCCCACACAAGCTCAACAGTCGCCGCCGTCGCCGTCGTTTGCAGGTGCCGACATCTTCGTCGTCGTCGCCGTCGGCTTCTTCATCCTCGCCGTCGTCTTTGCCGTCATCGTCGTCGTCGTCGTCGTCGTCGTCGTTGTTGTTGTTGTTATTGTTAAACATTACTACTTCTAAAGAATAATTATTGTTGGGGCCCCTGGTGCACGACCCCCCCGCCGCGCCTAGGCCGCAGCCACATTTTCATCATTTTCGTGAGGAAGTCTCAGGCAAAACGGGTTGGTCCGGATCCGGTTGTTTTGTTACGGCCCGCTTTCCCTTGCAAAAAATAAGCTAAAGTGGACATTTCTTGTTCTAACATAACCAAACTTCAAGAATCCCTTGCAAAAAATAAGGTAAAGTGGACATTCGCGCGCGCAAGACGAAATCCTTCCAAAACCTTAGTTTTCGTAGCGATTTTAACATAAAAACATCAAAAAACCAATGGTTTTTCAAAAAAAAAATGTCAAAATTTCATCCCGCGCGCTCTTGCGGATTCGTAGGAAACCCAACACTTTTTAAACATTTCTGTCAAACGGGCTTTTGCGAGCAACTTTTTCGAACTTCTGCAACAACGGTTGCGCACCTGCCAGGGCCATCATCCCTGTCAAATAATACCATGCGGGACACATTCGTTTTTTCTTCGCGCGCGCACGCCGTCGTCGTCGGCCGCGGGGCCCTGAATAGTAGCCACGGTCGTCCGCATGCCACGAAGTGAAGTGTCCGAACGTCATAGGGCGGGAAGCTGGGTGTGGGTGGTGGCGAAGAGTCGTTTGGAAATTTGGTAGAGCTTGAACCGGCCCCCCCACAAAGTGGGGGTATTGCCCGCCTCCTATGAAAACCCTGGCACTGGTGAGAACGGAGTGTCCCCACGTGCTAGTAATTGTTATTGTTATTGTTGTTGTTGTTGTTGCTGCTGTTGTTGTTGTTGTTGTTGTTGTTGTTGTTGTTGTTGTTGTTGTTGTTGTCGTTGACGTTGTCGGCGTCGGAATCGGCGTCGTCGTAAGCGTCGTCGTCGTCATTGTCGTCGTCGTTGTCGTCGTCTTCGTCATCATCGTCGTCGTCCAGCGGCAGCGACGTCGTCGTCGTCGTCGTCGTCGTCGATGTCATCGTCGTCGCCGTCGTCGTCGGTCTCGTGTGTCAGCGGCAGCGAAGTTGTCGTCGTTGTCCTCGTCGTCGTCGTCGTCGTGGTCATGGTCGAGGTCGTGGTTATGGTCGTGGTCGTGGTCCTGGTCGTGTTCGTCGTTGTCGTCGTCGTCGTCGTCGCCGGGGGGGGTCTCCTGGACACCTCGAATAATTTTCGTGAGGGGGTCGGGGGAGGGGAGGGGCGTCGGGACCCCTTTGCATCATTTCCCCGGGGGGGGACCCACCCACCCCGCTGATCTTGGCGGGAGCGGTTGGACTCCCCCCCCCTTGCCATCAGCGGCAGCAAACGCTCTTGCGGCAATTCCGACCTGCGCAGGCCGAAGTGCTGTCTTCACGGAAGCACGACGGGGCCAACCTCTCGCAGCGCCGCTGCGGTGGCTCGTTACGGCATCCGCTGTTCCAGCACTTCGACGTCGCAGAGGCATCGCCGATGCTTCGGGATGCGGCACGATTCTCCGACCCAGATCTACTCGGCACCTTTCAGGGAGGCCTTCGTGCGCGCGCCGCCGCCGTCATCCGTCCTCTGGCCGCTCGGGCCATGACTCGGGCCTCTGGCAGACGATCGGGACGACGCCCGCGCCTCTGGATGCACGGTCTCCCCTGGGGCTGCAGGCGACCCGAGGAGGGGGAGGGGGAGGAGGGCAAGCTAGGTGCGCTCGCGTCATATCTGACGTCCTACCCCTCCCTCCCATCCCTTACCATGGCGCTGATTTTCTCTATCCGCGGACGCGTGTCGTAGCGGACCTGTGGCTCCGCGCGCGCGTGCGTAGTGGGTGGTGGTGCACGTGCGTGCGTGCGTGCGTGTGTGCGTGGTTGTCGTGGTGGTGGTGGTGGTGGTGGTGGTGGTGGTGGTGGTGGTGTGGTGGTGGTGGTGGTGGTGGTGGTGGTGGTGGTGGTGGTGGTGGTGGTGATGGTGGTGGTGGTGGTGCTGGTGGTGGTGGTGCTGGTGCTGGTGCTGGTGGTGTTGGTACTGGTGCTGGTGGTGGTGGTGGTGGTGGTGGTGGTGGTGGTGGTGCTGGTGGTGGTGGTGGTGCTGGTGGTGGTGTTGGTACTGGTGCTGGTGCTGGTGGTGGTTGTGGTGGTGGTGGTGGTGGTGGTGGTGGTGGTGGTGGTGGTGGTGGCGGTGCGGCGCGGTGGTGGCGGGCGGATGGGCGCGCGAGAAAAAGGCCCGCGCTGGGGCGAGAACGCCATCCTGAACGACGGAGGCCAAACACCGATCCGAAAATGAGGCCCACGCTGCAGCGGGAGCACGATTCGGAACGATTCGGGAGCAGAAATGAGGCCGGCGCCTCAACGAGAGCAGCATTTTGGGAAAAAATGACGCCGGCGCCTCAGCGAGAGTCGTTTCCCGGGATTTTTCGGGCATCCTGTGTGTAAAAAACAATACGCGGAGGGTGCGCGGCTATCACCCGGACGCCATCAGGGGAAGGATTCGGGAGCAGAAATGAGGCCGGCGCCTCAACGAGAGCAGCATTTTGGGAAAAAATGACGCCGGCGCGAGAGCAGCATTTTGAGAAAAAATGACGCCGGCGCCTCAGCGAGAGTCGTTTCCCGGGATTTTTCGGGCATCCTGTGTGTTAAAAAACAGTACGCGGAGGGTGCGCGGCTATCACCCGGACGCAATCAGGGGAAGGGGGAGAGTATATTCATATTAAGCAATTGTGGAGGGGGAGGAGGAGGGGGAGGGGGAGGGGGAGGGGAGGAGGAGGAGGAGGAGGAGGAGGAGGAGGGGAGGAGGGGGAGGAGGGGGAGGGGAGGAGGAGGAGGAGGGGGAGGAGGGGGAGGGGGGGAGGAGGGGGAGGAGGACGGGTCGCCTAGGCCCTTCGGAGAAAGCCTCCACCTCGGGAGCGCTCTCGACGAGGCGCAGGTGCAAGAAAGCCGGCGAGACCCAACGGAACGTCCCAAAACCTACGTCCAAAAGCCGCAGCAATAAAAAACGTACAAACCTCGAGCGACTGCAAGGCGGCCATGGGGTCTGACTTCATCGGGCCCCAGGAACATCGGTCAAAAGGAGGGGGGAATGGAGGCAAATCTGCTCAAAATCATTCCCTGGACGGAGTCCATCTGGTGCAATTTCTCCCCGATCCGTTTGTGTCCCGGGCCAGAAACCCGCCCCGGGGAACTGAGAAAGGCCACGAACCTTTGCGAAACCAGAACCTCGGACCTGGCCCCTTCTTCTTTCTGCTGGCAAGACCGAAATCAGGGAGACGTAACACTCAGGTTCGGGGGGCTCGGAATGGCCTGACGGGGCCATGATGAAAATGTCGAGACCCAATCTGAAATCTGACGCGAACTCCCGCTGCAAACATCCAACGCACACTGAACCGTCAAAACCCAGGACGCGCTCATCAAGAAACGTCGGCAAACCCGAGGCCCAGCGCACTCGAGTCTCACCTTTCCCCGACCACAGCTGGGTCCCCTCAGACCCCCCGCCGACTCAAAAGAGCGACCTCCGCGCGCGCGCGCGCCCCCGCGCGCCAGCGGGTGCCAGAGGCTGCGCGCTCCCGGGGCGCGTCGCGGCGGGCTCTGGCCAGTCGAGCCACGAGTGCGGCGGCGGCCACGGCGACGGCGGGGGGGAGCTCGGGCACCATCCTTCGACGCTTCCGAGGGGTGTGGTCTACGAAGGCTGTGGTTTGCAACCTGCGCCTCGGGGAGGCGGGCGAGATCCTCGAAAGAGATTTCTGCCATGCCCCGACGAGGGCTCGTCCAAACTTTTGGCTCAACGTCGGAAATCCCTGAGCCCCAACGGCCCCGATCGCAACTCACACCCGGACAGGACCACACCCCTTGTACTCGCCGAACCTGACTGCACAGGAGGGCTAACAGATAGCAGAAAGATCTCACCCCCGAAACTCCAGCCGAGGCCTCACGCAGCCCAGATCGACCAACAGGTCTGAAGGGCTGTGGTCCAGCACTCGTGGAGGTCACTCGGCGGTGGACAAACCTCCCTTTAGTAGACCTCCACTTAGTGAAAACGGCCTGGGACCGAAACCGACGGACCTGAACCCGCAAAAATGACGGCCGCGACGCCCTCTCGCGAACCGAAAACGGCCAATTCCTTAATCGACGTGTCAGGGTAGGAGGCCTGTCCACCCCCGAGTCACGGCAAGGCCAGATGACGACAAGACTCTCCAGAATCCTGGCGCCCTTCCATCGCTTCCGGCCCCTGCGAGGGCCCGCTGGCGGGCTCCCCTGGGGGTCCTCCAGGACGGGCCCGTGGCGGAGAGCTGCCCCGAAGACGGCGCGCCGCTCCCGGCCGGGCCCGGGTCCTCTCGGGCCCTGTCTTCCTCGCGCCGTGGCAAAGACACGACGGACAGTTTTCGGGGAGACGTAAGACCCGGGTACGGGGGACTCGGAAATCCCCGACGAGGTCGTCAAAAAAATGACGAGGCCGAGCCTGCATTTTGACGAGGCCTCCCGCTGCAGACATCCCACGAAACTCCTCCTCGTCAAAATCCGAGGCGCGGTCGTCAAAAAACGATGGCGAACCCGAGTCCTGGCAAACCCGGGTCTTACGCTCCCCCGAAGTTTGAAGGGGCCCCAGGACACACAAATAAAGACACACAAATAAAAAGATTCCCCATGTTTTCCCATATGTTCCGGGCTGTTGTCTTCCCCCCCCCACTTCCCATATGTTCCCATATTTTCTGGGGAGTCGACGATGAATTGTGTCTGTGTGTTTTTTTTTTCCCTCCTGACAGTTCTCGGGTCCTTTCGGGCCTCCGAGGGGGCCCTGGCGTCGTCGAAGGTAGTCTCAGCACATGCAACTGTTCCACTGTGGCTACTAGCACGTGTTGGAACAATGCGTCCATGCCATTGAATGCACATGATCAACCGTCGATGTGGCTCAATTGAGTCCCGCAAGGGACGAAACTCGAAACGTCGGCACGATACCGACAGCATTCTTGCGTCGTAGTGCTTTCATCGTCCAGCTGGATTGTCTCAGCTTGATCTGGGATCGTCGAAGATCGACTCAGAGGCGGTCCCCAGGAGGCAGGAGAGACAAGTGTCGAATCGGTGAGTCGGATCGGCGATCGGCGTGCATCGGATCGGCGGAGATCGGCTGCGCATCGGCGGAAAGCGGCCCCCATGGAGAGAAATCGGAGCCCACATCGGACATCCGAAATCGAATCGAATTGGAATCGGAAGGTCGAAGCGAGCCCCAGGAGGGGAATGCGGGAGGAGGGAGGCTTGGGGCCCGCGCCGATCGGCGAAAGAATAGATCAGTCGACGGCGATCGGGCGTCGCTCCATGGGGGGAAGAGGGGTGCGCTTCTCGGGCCCCGCAGGCCACGTTTGGGCCCTCCAGGGCCACCCTGTGGGGCCCCTGAAGGGCTCCTCTTCGGCAGCCCTCGCTGCCCCCCTCGCTGATCGCCCCCCCCCCTCAGTGGGGGGGGCCACTCCGCAAGAAACCTTCCACGAGAAACCCAACCCTGAGACCCCAGGACGTCCCTCGATGCTTGGCGCGGGACCGTCCCGCCGAGACCCAAGAAGCCCAGGGCACCCTGGAGGCACGCAGGGCGCTGCGTGGCATGGGTCTCCACTGCACGCGACGCCCAGGGCGACCCGACGAGGCGGTCCCTGGGAGGGGAGGAGGAGGAGGAGGAGGAGGAGGAGGAGGAGGCGGAGGAGGGGGAGGAGGAGGGGGAGGAGGAGGAGGGGGAGGAGGAGGAGGAGGAGGAGGAGGGGGAGGAGAGGAGGAGGGGGAGGAGGAGGGGGGAGGAGGAGGAGGAGGGGAGGAGGAGGAGGAGGAGGAGGAGGAGGAGGAGGAGGAGGAGCTGAAAAGCGTCACGCTGCGCTCGCCGAGGTGCGGACGCCCTCCTCCCTCGGCCAGGGGTCGGCTCGCCTGGCCGCCCCTCCCGGGCGCGGGCCCCCGGCCACGCCGGGCGGCTCTTGGCGCGGGGCCCGGACAGAGGAGGCCGAATCCGATGGGCCAGTCGTCCACCACCGCTGCCACAGGTAGGATCGGGGGGGGCCTAGGGTGGAGGGAGGACGGGGAGGTCTCCTCCTCCTCCTCCTCCTCCTCCTCCTCCCTCCCTCTCCTCCTCGTCCTCGTCCTCCTCCTCCTCCTCCTCCTCCTCCTCCTCCTCCTCCTCCTCCTCCTCCTCCTCCCTCTCCTACCTACGGCAGTGGCAGTGGTGGAAGATCGGTCCATCAACATCGAGACGAAATCGGAACCATCTGAATCGGAAATCTCCAAGAATCGGCGGGTTTAGGGAATGCATCGGGCGCCGCGGCCATTACAGAGCGTTCCGGAACGCCTTCGAGTGTCTGGCAAGCATAGAACAGAAGCGGGAATCTGAGAATGCAATGATTAGCACCCCGCAGTTGCGGATAAAAATGAGGGGGTGGGTCGCGGGCGAGTCGCGGGGTGGGTCGCGGGCGGGTCGCGGGCGGGTCGCGGGGTGGGTCGCGGGATGGGTCGCGGGTGGGTCGCGGGTGGGTCTCGGGTGGGTCGCGGGCCGGGTACTGGGCGTGACGACGACAACAAACACCAGCAACAGCAACAGCAACAGCAACAGCAACAGCAACAGCAACAACACCACCACCACCACCACCACCAACACCAACACCACCACCACCACCACCACCAACAACAAC